CCCAAACCAACCAACGAACAAAAACTCCTTACCAAATCTGTTTAAAAGTAAATTCTCAGGAAGGGTKGAGGATTTCCAGGGCAGATCTTTGTGTTAAAATCATTATGCACAAAACACAAATGAGAGGTATTAAGTGCAGATTTTTCCTATTCATTGAATTTTGAAGTAAAAAGGCAGAAAAAAAAAAGAGCATTCCACTGCAATGTAGAAGTGGAGGTTCAAATTATAAAGCACATCCTATCCACTGCTCCAGAGAAAAAAAGCCAAAGACMCGAAAAGAAAAGTAGTGGAGAAAGTTTTCTACTTTTTGTTTAGAGCAGAGGGGTTAATTATCTGAAATAGTGTGAGGCCGATCTGGGGAGCAGCGACAGCACAAGTTCAAAGAACAACAAAATCCTGATCTTTAAAGGTGTTTTTTTTTACATTTGCCAGTTTTAGAAATTAATATATCCAAGATCTGTGACACCAATCCAAGAATTTGTCTTTACTGGTTAAATATTCTACMAGGTTTCAAAATTAACCAAATTTAGACGCATTTTGTTTTATTTTTATATCTGTTTTTTACATATGAGAGAAAACCTTAATAAACTGGTACTGTTGCACGAGGTTTTAYATTTTCTTGTTTCAAGGATTAAAGRCCAACTAATGCAGGCCAGAGAAGCAGTCACACGTATATCCTGGCTAATTATAAATTATCTGCAAAAGTTTATGAGGTGTTTTTGCTGAAATTCACGTCCCCGCTCTAACTGAGATTTATTTTTTTGCTCATCTGAGAAGAAAGCTTTGTCACACAGAGTGACTCATTAGCAGCATCTGGGATATCCGAGACGGGATTACTGCCTCTGCTACACTTAAAAAACTTAACATTTTCTGTGTGTAAATGTGGCCACTGAGAGGAGAGAGGCAAGACACTAATTTAATTATTACAGTATTAAAATGAAATCAGGAGTTTAAAAGATGTTTAAAAAAAAAAAAAAATAGTGACAGTGATTCATCACCTTCTTCAGTYCAAAACTCTTCAGATGTTTATTATCTCCTCAGAGAAGATGCTTGTCTATATTTTATGGTCAGCAGTTCACAGAGGAGTAAATAGGTTGGGTGTAGAAGAAAATAAAAAAAGGTGTTTCTACTTACTGTTAGGTGATACTGCCTCCATATTTCTGGGCAAGCCTGGAAAATAAAAATATTGATCAGCTAGGAGCATGAAACAAGGTGCTTTACAGCCTGTTGGTTTTGGCATAACACAGTATCCACTGGTGTCGGTCACAGGAAAATAAGAAGCTTAACTGAAAGGGTCTGCATTTCAGCTTCAAAAACCCGGCTAGACAGTTTAATTGAATTTTACACTGGTTTAACACACTCCCTGCCATTGTCAGAAAGCCAGTAACAGTTTTCTCTCTGCCCTTTTTTCTCTCCGAGGGGCAGAAGTTTGGGAGAGCAGCGTGCTCGTGACTGTAGGAAGTATTAATGCTGCAAAACAAACAGGGGCGGATTTAAATTCTGCRTTTTCTGACATTTTTAAATTTACATGACGTTCTAGAAATTAAATCGCAAGGTGCTTTCCTTTCGCTTAGCAACAGAAATATTTTATCTTTTTTTTGCACATATCTCTTTCCTAATCAAAATATAATTGTTACATGTAATAATCCTCAGCAGCCTCGTGTCAAATGAGTTGTAAACAAGAACCATAACAGATTGCTTTAATGTTTCTATTTTTACAATGGCTTTCTTTCTTTTTTATTTAACTTCTTCTTTTTTTTTTAATTGTCAGACTTTCACAGCAAATCCTAAGTGCAGCCCTTTGAAAAAAAAAAAAAATTCAGAGGAGGTTTTTGAGTCAAAGCAGCGACAAGGTTGACCTGAGTGAAAGACGATAAAGAGAAAAACGTGAATCTTTAAAACAAAATCAGAATATGTTTGTGGTCACTGAGGCTCACGTCAGTCTCTTAGGGGTTTTTAACGCTTTTACAAAATGTAAAAGTATTTACAGTATTTCTGATGGCCTCTGAGCCACACACAGACACGGAAATTGGGGCAMTTTTCAGCATTTTGGTACACTGCAGCGGAGGGCTTTCACTTCTCTTTAGAACATTCACTCTTTTATTAGAACAGCTTCTTTTTCATTTGAAAAATTAGCAATTTGGTTCGCCAACCTTCATTTTAAGTATTTTAAGAAGAAATTTACAGTATTCCGTGCCTTCTCCATAAAATGCTGCCACTGCAATTTCAAACACTGAACCTCATGACTACTTGCAAATCAGTACTATTAACATTTCTTTAGATTTCGAATAAATTCTTCACTCATGCCTAAATTCTTGCCTTCTTTTATTTTGATGGAGTGTGTTAATTAAAATAAACCACACCACAACCAGCATCTCTCAAAATAAAACCCAAGTTTTTGCCAGTCACCCCGTGGCACACGCGGCGTGTTTTTCCAGGACGTGATAGAAATGATATTATTTATTATTCATTCCACCAGTAACGTAATTTTCTGCAGAAAAAAATCTACAATCTGTTCTGTGCAACGGTTCAACATTTCTCCACTCAAATATCGTGTGTAAATATTTGAGTTTTATATTAATATTTCTRTAAAGGAAATGTGTGAAGGACATCACCGAGGATCTGACAGTTTGAAMACACTCGAGCACAAAAACAAAAGGATTTTCCTTCTTCCCCAACTTATTCAGGATTCAGAGAGGCAACACATAAACATTTTATAGCTTGTAAAAATAYTGYAAAATAAAATATAAATAAAAATATATTGCTCTCAGCACCTCCCTCGGACCTGAAAAGGCTTCAGCTGTGCTGGTCCAGCTCGGGGTACAGCAGTTATTTATTTATACATTAGTTCTGGATAGTTTTCCATTTCCAGCCTAATGTGGTTGAACAATCACAATCAATGATTTGTCCCACACTGGCAAAATGCCACTCTGTGCTGTGACCTTTACCCACATGGCCGCTGTTTAATAATCATTATCACGATTAAAATTACTTTATTTGTGAATAACTGCTTGGTTGGGTGTTTTTCCTTGCTCTGGACACAAAGATTTTGAGCAAAGATCTGTAATTTGGAGTGAGAGCCCTGGGAGAGGCACAGCCCCTGCCCTTAGTGCTGGGTTTAAACTCGAGAACATTTTCAGGGTGTGGGAAAACCCTTAAGCTAAGGAAGAAGGTGGTGAGGGGAGAGTGGATGAGGATATTCCTTCGTTCAGATAGTGGATTTGGATAATTCTGCTCCAATTTGGGTAATCCTGCTCCAGTTTGGGTAATTCTGCTCCAATTTGGGT